AAAAAAAAAAATAGCCCGGCATTCTGGTGGGTGCCTATAGTCCCAGCTACTTGGGAGGCTGAGGCAAGAGAATCGCCTAAGCCCGAGAGTTTAAGGTTGCTGTGAGCTGTGAGGTCACAGTACTCTACTAGGGCGATATAATAAGACAATATCTCAAAAAAAAAAAAGCCTTTTTATTGAGCAAAACAGTTGCCAGTACACTAGGTACCTCACATTTATTATCATATTCAACCTTTGTGTCAGTTCTTTGATATAAATCAGATATCCCTATTCTATAGATGAAGACTTAAGTTCCCAGAAGCTGAGTACTTTGCCCAGACTCACACAGCTAGCAAGTACCTGGACTTGAGCCCAGACCTATCTCCCAAATCCATGCTTTTTCTGCTATAGCTAATTTTCTTTCCTTTTTTCTCAGTTAAGATCAAAATCAGTATATCTAGAAATCATAAAATAGAACATAAACTGCCCCAGGTTAAGTATGGGTAACCAGAGTACAGAGAAATTCTAATAAAGAAGTAAAATGCCTTTGTCCACTGGAAAATTAAGAACAATGAGATTATACAATTTTAAAATATTAAAAGTTCCCAAAAGACATTAATTCTTGCTGGAAACCCATGATATGTTTCCTCATTTAAGAGGAATATATTTTGTTTTCTTTGGCATTTTGGTCCTTTCTTGTGTCATTATTTCCCTGGCTTATGCACAGGACAGGAGATTCTGGGATTACTTATTAGAATAATTAATTATTTTGTGTCAGCTGAACTAATATTTCAAGATCTTCAGTGGTAAAAGTTTGGGACAGTTCCATTCTACACATTAACCCATGGCTTGAGCAATACTCCAGTTCTAGAATTTTTCTTCTGAGTATTCTGCTTCTTTCAGGTGAAAATTGTAGTGATGAATGAGAACGTGTCTCTCAGAGCAGCCCTGGATAAGAATCTGAGAAGCGCTGTGACTGCTGCCTTCCTCATGCTTCCTGAGAGCTTCTCTGAAGAAGACCTCTTCGTAGAGATCGCTGGGCTCTCCTACTCAGGTGAGCATTGTTGGTGCCCAAATATGCTACAAGCAGATTTGTTATCTGGAGACTATGTACGTACGAGGTCTGACAGTTGAGTTCATGAGCTCATCCTAGAAAAGGCACTGTACACCTCATTGCTGAATGTCATTACGGTTATCAGATGTCGGAGCGGAGTACTTTGAAGGTGGCTGTAGTGATACTCAGCAGTGAGTTCTGTAGAACTTTTTTCTACAGTGAGTTCGGGAAGGTAGTTGTCAGTCCCCGAATCCTGCTCCTCGCTGTGTGTTGGACTTGCCACATCCTTAGTTGTCAGTCCTTGTCACTTCATGTGTAGCGTTCTACGCTAACCTTGTGACCTGCCTCCCTGCTTTCCAAGGTGCCCTCCATACATCTCTGCACCTACTGCAGGGTAATTTTGTCGTGTTGTTAATTTTTATTTCAAAATTATTTTAAACTTAACATATGCTCTTTCCCCAAATTTCATCAGTTTTTGTTTTTTGGGGGTTTTTTGGGTTTTTTTGAGACAGAGCCTCAAGCTGTCGCCCTGGGTAGAGTGCCATGGTGTCACAGCTCACAGCAACCTCCAAATCCTGGGCTCAAGCAAGTCTCCTGCCTCCACCTCCCAAGTAGCTGGGATTACAGGCGCCTGCCACATTACCTGGCTATTTTTTGATTGCAGCCGTCGTTGTTTGGTGGGCCCAAGCTCGATTCGAACCCGCCAGCTCAGGTGTATGTGGCTGGTGCCTTAGCCGTTTGAGCCACAGGCGCGGAGGCAAATTCATCAGTTTTAACATTTTACCACCTTGTTTTCTCACTGTCTCTGTATCAGTGGCTTTCAAAATTCTGAATTTATCTGAACAACCTGGAAGGCTCCCTTTAGAACACAGACTCCTAGTTCCCCCCAGACAGTTAATCTAGAATGTCTGAGTGGAGCCCAGGAATTTGTGTTTCTAACTACTTCCCAAGGGATGCCGATACTCCTCCAGGGAGCCTGCTTTGAGAACCACTGCTTTCCAATGTGTGTAAATACACTATTAATTTTTCTGAACGGTTTGAGAGTAGGGCACACATACCATGTCCCCGTTAGGCCAAATGCTATACTTCAACTTGTTTCATAAGAATAAAGACGTTCTCTTACTTAACCGCAATACAGTTATCAACTTCAGGACATCAAACATGATTGTTTGATTGCAGACAATACAGACAATGGTTGTGTCAGATTTATAGTCTATATTTCAAATGTTAGTTGTCCAAACGTGTCTATATTGCATTTTTTCCGTAAATATGTGACAGTGTCAGGAATCCTACATGGTGGTAGTCGTGGTGTCTCTTGTCACTTCTTCGGCCTTTCTTTGTCTTACGTGATTGGCATGTTTTTGAAGTCTATGAGCCAGTGATGTTTGTCCTTGTATAGATAGCATTTTATTCCTTACGTGCAGTCTGTCTGCAGAAAGATCATGTGAATGTCCTGCTTCTAATCAGACTTCCCCTCCTGGATTAAAAATAATCCATTGGGCTCTGCGCCTATGGCTCAACCGGCTAAGGCGCCAGCCACGTACACCTAAGGTGGCAGGTTCGAATCCCCAGCCCGGACCGGCCAAACAACAATGAGGCGGAGGCAGGAGACTTGCTTGAGCCCAGGAGTTGGAGGTTGCTGTGAGCTGTAATACCATGGCACTCTGCCCAGGGGGACAGCTTGAGGCTCTGTCTCAAAAAAAAAAAAAAAAAAAAAAACCATTGATTTTTTTTTTTCAGGGTGCCCCAATCTTTGTTGTTGTTGTTTTTGTTGGGGATTCATTGAGGGTACACAGCACCAGGACCATGGATTATTCTTGTTTGAACCAGTCTTTAATGTGATGGTTACAAAGTGGTGATTTTCCAACTCCACTTCTTCCTCCATATTAAGGAAAAGCTTTCCTTTCCTCATTCATTTATTTATTTGTTTATTTGTCTAAAGGTTAACTTCCTTTCCTTTCCGCTTTTAGCTAATTGTGTTCCTCAAGGAACACAAGGCTCCTTTGAAGGACAAACAGGGAAACTGAGAGAAGTGGCCCCGCATCCCAGCTGCGGCCAGAGGAGTGCCCCACTTACCTGTTTAATATAGGAAGGTTCCGTGAAAGATCCTACTTGCAAAAAGAGTAGTCTGCTACTTTAAGAAAAGTTTGAAAGCCACTGTCTTAAATAAATATTCTCTTTCCCAATTTTAAGTATGAGTCAAAGAACCTTATGCCCCAAAACATTGCAGAAGCAGTTTACTTATTCTCTGAATCTCAGTACAAATAAGATTTCGTGGAAATTTAATGCTGTGAAAGACCTTAAGAGTTCTTGTTCTTCAGTCTTTCAAAATTCACCAAGCACAGCTGCGGCTATAACTGCAACATGGAGAGAAAGGCAGTAAAATAGCCTTCATCTTCGGTTGTTTCTGGCTCCACACGGCAGTATCCCTGACCTCTAGCGAAAGGCACAGGGCAGAGTGGCACAGCTATGGACCAGAACGGTGGGCCTGTCGGCAGTGTGTGGGAAAAGGCAGCCCTTTCTTAGCCTGCTTCCCTCTTGTAATAGTCCCCTGTGAAAAAAGACTCAACAGAAAGAAGCCTTTTATGAAGGGTCGACTGTGGGAGAAGACGCAGGACTGTTCTCTTCTCTACCCCGCCCACTACCACGCCTCCAATTTGCCCCTTCTAGGGCGGCGCCTGTGGCTCAAAGGAGTAGGGCCCGGCCCCATATACTGGAGGCGGAGGGTTCAAACCCAGCCCTGGCCAAAAACTGAAAAAAAAAAAAAAAAAAAAAAAACCTCATGCACACACACAATTTGCCCCTTCTAATCAGTATCAGCATTTGATGGGTGGATTCTGGGAGTTCTCTGTAAATTCTGAACATTGACTAAGGAAGTTATCAAACGACTTAACTGCTTTCACCTGTTGGTTCTGCACTTACATGAGTTCTGCACTTAACTCTGCTGCGAGTTGTATGATTTTTGCTGGAGCTAGACTAGAGCAGTGAGGGTAGAAAAGGACCTTCCTCTCTTTCGTAGGTATGAGGCTTGCCCCAGGCAATGTGCTGATAAGGCGGATTCTCCTCCTGGCTTTCCTGGGCTTCTGAGAACTCAGTATTCTAGAGTTAATTGGATTCTATCCCTTCAGCAGACTACCCAAATCTCTTAACCCTCAGAATATTCCAAAACATAGGTTGTCCACTGGTCTTTTTATTAAGAACTTTGAAATTTTTCCTTTTGTTTTCAGTGGAGTGATTGTATGTAGTCCCTAAATTGTGAAGTTTAATATATCTTCTCCTGGGAGAGAGTGGGAAACGGACAGAGAAAGCTGTGTTTTCTCATGTTTTTGGACTAGTTCTTGCCAGTAATTACTTAGGCAGAGACAAGATCTCTCAGTATTACTAGTAGTAATAACAGCCCTTCGTGTTTTATGTGGTGTTTAAGGACCACTTTGACTGCCCTGGGGTCAGTATTTATGGCAGCATTATTAAAAATGATGGGTGAGAAAGGAGTAGGTGGAGGGTGGCGTCTGTAGGACGGGGGAGGAGGCAGCTTTCTAATCTGTAGTTACTCTCGGAAGTCAGCATTTAAGTGACCAGGAACGAAGCCAGAGGAGTTTTAAAGGGTCACCTTGAACTTTCCTATCGAAGTACAAACTATTAAAATGACCAATTTTAGGCAGTGATGTTGATTTCACATTATCAAGGGAGTGAGCGTCTCATGTGATAAAGAACTAAAGGTAGGGCTCGGCGCCTGTGGTTCAAGCGGCTAAGGCGCCAGCCACATACACCTAAGGTGGCGGGTTCAAATCCAGCCCAGGCCCACCAAACAACAATGATGGCTGCAACCAAAAAATAGCTGGATGTTGTGGCGGGCGCCTGTGGTCCCAGCTACTTGGGAAGCTGAGGCAGGAGACTCGCTTGAGCCCAGGAGTTGGAGGTTGCTGTGAGCTGTGATGCTACGGCACTCTACCCAGGGGGACAGCTTGAGGCTCTGTCTCAACAAAAAAAGAACTAAAAGTAGAACCTCTGCGCTAAGGAACTCCACGCTGGTAAGCATGCAGTCATCGTGACTCAGCATACGCTTATACAATCACACGTGTGGAAGAGGCAGGGGGGATGAAAGAACATGGCTTGTGTAGGGCAGAAGCCGTGGATGGGCCTGAGGTCTGCAGCATATGGCAGGAGAAAATAGTATTTTTTATTGGATGCCCAAGAACTGCTCTCAATACTTTTGATGTGGTAACCAGTTAAATATTGACAACAACCTTTTGTTTTGATTTGGGTGCTCTGTTAGCGCTCCAGTTCACAGATGAGAAAACTGAGGTCCAGAGTGTTTACCTGTATATGTCATGATGTTTTCAATGAGATTATATATATATATAAAAGGCTCCAGCTTGTCTCATTGGTAGTGCTCAGAAATTATTTCCATTATTGTTTAAGTTTTATTGTTGGTTACATGCATGGGTTTTCCTTAGGATGAGATGCTGTTGCTTGCTGAGTTGTTCAATGAGGGATGGACGCTGAGGTGATCGGTGGTGAACCGATTCATCACTGTGTTATTAACAAACTGCTGCAAGTCACTCCATCCAGGTTACTTGGGTGCAGGAAGGGGCAAAAGGAGGCACTAAGTTCCTTGATGTGTTTTCCAAAGTGGAATTATAGTCAGTTATAAAATTATAACACTTGTTACATGTTGGTAAATAACGCCTCTCAAAATTAGCAGAATGCTTAGATCAGGTGGGCTTAAACCTGAACGCCCCAGTTCAAGGCCCTGCTTGGTCCTTAAGGACTGAAAAACAGCTTCAAGCACTCTCGTGTGAAAGAGGATGGATTTGTTTCATTGCCAGATTGTGTGAACACAGGTCAGCTACTTCTAGGAATAAGACAAAGCAGTGGGGACGTTGCCGGGTGACTCTGGGGGAAAGAAGTTAGCTGTGGGTGTGTGCCAGCACTCTGAAGTGTGAGTAAACATCTCCACTTCTGATTTCTGATTCTGGTAAAAGGCAGTGAAGAAACTT